GCAGACATGCACCAAAAAGTCACCAGTAAAAGAAGGGAGGGAAGGACAAGAAACCATAAGGATTTAAAGTCTCGGTGGCCGGCACAGTGGCTCACCTGTAAGCACAGCATGCCCCGGCTGTCCCACTTCCAATCCAGCTCCCTGCTACGGCCTGGGAAGGCGGCAGAGGACAGCCCAGCTCTCCGGGTCCTTGCACACATGTTGAGACCCGAGGAAACTCCTGTCTCCTGGCTTCAGATCAGATTGGCTCAGCTTTGGCCATTATGGCCACTTGGAGAATGAGTCAACCAGTGAAAGATCTCTCTAAATCTGCCTTTCAAATAAAAATAAATCCTTAACTAATTACATTAAAAAACAGTCTTAAGAGATGTTGACCAACGTAAGATACAAAATTTGTTTGGATTCTAATTTAAAAATATGTAAAAATTTATAAACTGTTGATATTTAAGCATAAATTATTTAAAGATACTGAGACATTTTAGCAATTTGAGTTGTGACAACAGAGTTATAATACTGTAAGACAGGGCCCGGCGGCATAGCCTAGCAGCTAAAGTCCTCAGCTTGCACACACTGGGATCCCATATGGGCACCGGTTCATGTCCCGGCAGCCCCACTTCCCATCCAGCTCCCTGCCTGTGGCCTGGGAAAGCAGCAGAGGACGGCCCAAGGCCTTGGGACCCTGCACCCACATGAGAGACTCGGAGGAGGCACCTGGCTTTGGACCAGTTCAGCTCCGGCTGTTGTGGCCACTTGGGGAATGAATTGGAGGATGGAAGATTTTCCTCTCTGTCTCTCCTCCTCTGTTCATATCTGACTTTCAAATAAAAATACATAAATCTTTTTTAAAAATTGCTTATCTGACTGCTGCTCACCCACACACACAAACACATACATCTTCACATACATTGAAGGAATGCTTTCTTCCTTAGCCCCTGACATGATCACAGCCACTTTGCCTAAAGCATAGAGCCTCCCTTTCCAGTGGCTGTTTTTGTAATGTGCTGCACCAGGGTAGGCATATCCAGCCGAGGCACCTGTTCACTTCCTGTGAGATAACAGCTGCTCGTGATGCTGGACAGAGCAGGTCAATAATCACCATAATCGAATGCATGAGATGCATGAGTGGCCTGTCTTCAGAGAGGGTGCCTGTCTCATCATCAAGACAGAGGGGAGGCAAACACAAGTGTGATTACCAGACATGAAGAGCCACAAACCGTGCGCACAGCCAGGCCTGAATATGAAGTGAAATGCTTCTCCGTTATGCAAGGGCTGCTGTTGTTTTTAAGTCATTTTGGAGGACAGGATATTATTGCCATTAACCGGCTGCCAGCTAATGATCGTTAGTTAACTGCAAGTCGGCAGCTCTGATTCGCCATCAGCACTGTCCTGGCAGCCCATCTCCCCAGCGCTGTCCCGACAGTCCATCTCCCCAGCGCTGTCCCGGCAGCCCATCTCCCCAGCAATGCCCCGGCAGCCCATCTCCCCAGCACTGTCCATCTCCCCAGCAATGCCCCGGCAGCCCATCTCCCCAGCGCTGTCCCGACAGCCCATCTCCCCAGCGCTGTCCCGACAGCCCATCTCCGCAGCACTGTCCCGACAGCCCATCTCCGCAGCACTGTCCATCTCCCCAGCACTCTCACACTATCCGGCTCCCTCTCTGAGCACATTCTGTTTTTTCTCCACGTGGGGGTCTGAGAAAAATGAAGACATACTCCTCAAGGATCACAAAGAAGAGGATAAAAACACAGACACACCAACCAATCTGGGATTACACGCCAAGACCCCCAAAGGAAACACTGACAATGACTTTCAAATGCCAAGCAGCACAATGACCATGGACAAGTTCCCCTTGTGTAAGTCCCTACTGCCTAGACACGTACTATGATCGGCAGTTCTAAAGCTTCAAATCCTAATCACACACATTCCAAAAGATCACCTGGATCTCACAGCTCTGTGCTAATCGGATTCTTCCGAACATCCCTCTTAGGAAGAGCCCGAGTCTCAGTGGGCAGACGCAGCAATGCCTACAGGGAGAGCGCCATACCAGGGCCAGGGAGGAAGACAGACAAGCCTGGCAGTGTAACAGGAGCCTAAGGAGCAGGGGGAGCAGGTTAGTAACTCAGAGGCAGCCCACTGCCTTACACCCCAAAGCCTGCCAGTGCTCTCCCCACAGGATGGTCCCCCAGAAGCATGCTTGCTGCTGCACTGCTGGCTCCCAGATCTGACTCAGTGAAGTCATTAACCTTGGGAGGAATGTGACTTACTTCACACCCAGCTAACTCCGCCTGTGAGAAGGGGTGGAGGGAGAAGTGGCAGGAAGCCCTGACGCCCTCCCCGTCTAATCCACAGTCTGAACACTGTGCGCGCTGAGCCCTTTCTGAGACTTCTTTCAGCTCTCAGCTCAGCTCCCTTCGCCATGTCAGATGTATTCTCTCCACCAGCCTGAACACCTGACTTCCGTCCGGAGGGATGCCCAGCTGTCCTGACGGGTGGTCCAGCCTCATCAAACCTAGCTACTTGGCTCATCACCGCTCTCCAGCTCAATCTGAATTCTTTCTCATGTGAAGACAAGAACTTTCAAAGAGTTCTCCCCTGTAACACCATGGCATATGAAGAAAAAGATGGTCCCTGAATAGCCTGTCTAACATTTCAGTGCCTACCAAGTGAAAGACATTGGGCAATTCTATTAGAAACCATCAACGTACAGATGGGTTCCTTTGGTTAGCAACTTAGAATGTTTATCAGTGGAAAGAAATCCGCTAGCAATATCAAATCAGGAAACGAAGACACGGATGAGTTAAAAATGTTGTGCCTTGTACAGACATGTGAAATTAAAACCACAGGAATCACGCCCTCCACTGGACTGAGCAGATTAGGAACCGGAGAGAGAGACAGCAGGTAGGAACTGCACCCCAGAGCGTCATGGAAGCATCCCTGAGAAGGTGAGAATGCTGAGGGGAAGCACCTGTTCCGGACACGCTGTCTGCCTTTGACACTCTTCCTCTTGCCTTGCTGTCTCCTTGAACCTTCCCACCAAACCCTGCAGTGTCTACATCCCGGGACCCGACAGTATACCTCTTTGGAATTTGAGATTATTTGTGAGACATGGGATGTTAAAATTCTCAGTACTCACCTTGGTATACGTTTAAAAAAAGATTTATTTTTTCTTTATTGGAAAGGAATATAAACACAGAGGAGGAGAGACAGAGAGGAAGATCTTTCATCTGATGATTCACTCCCCAAGCGGATGCAATGGCTAGAGCTGTGCCAATCCGAAGCCAGGAGCCAGGAGCCTCTTCCGGGTCTCCGATGAGGGTTAGGGGTCCCAAGGCTTTGGGCCTTCCTCTACTGTCTTCCCAGGCCACAAGTAGGGAGCTGGATGGGAAGTGGGGCTGCCGGGATTAGAACCGGCGCCCATATGGAATCTGGCGCATGCAAGGCAAGGATTTCGGCACTAGGCTACTGCATTGGGCCCCATGATTTGTTTTTAAGATCCCTCATACATTCTTTTGCACCAAAATAAACTTGTTGCCTATTTCCATTTTTCTACTGGTTTTGTGAAATGTCCTGGCAATCCAGCATTTAGGATTGGGTTAGGATGTGAGCGCAGGGCAGGAGCGGAGGAAAAGTGATCAGGCATGAAAGGATTTATCAGCGCCCAGGGGAGTTCGGTGGGCGATAGTGGGCAGGGCAGGCAGATCATCATACTTAAAGCTGGCCTTATCCTCAAGGATAACCTAAAAAATGGTCATTTGCATTTGATGTTAAAGAAGTGCCTCTGGGCCCTGGTGCTATAGCCTAGCGGCTAGAGTCCTCACCTTGCACATGCCAGGATCCCATATGAGTGCCAGTTCTAAAGCAGCAGAGGACGGCCCAAGGCCGTGGGACCCTGCACCCACATGGGAGACCCGGAAGAGGCTCCAGGTTCCTGGCTTTAGATTGGCTCAGTTCTGGCCATTGCAGCCGCTCGGGGAGTGAATCATCAGACAGAAAATCTTCCTCTCTATCTTTCCTCCTCTGTGTATATCTTCCTTTCCAATAAAAAATAAATACATTTTTTAAAAAGTGCCTCTCACAGGCTGGGGAACGTCACAGTGATGGGAGGTTTACGATCAGACACATCAGAGCTAGTGAAGTCATTTTTAAACAAGGCTCTTACAACAGAGGCTTGAAAAAAGAAGATATGTGACATAAGTAAAAATGATTTTCAAGGAGATTGTGATGGGTGGCAAGGTGATGAGATTTTTAATTCCTACAATAATGAACTGATTTTAGGGAGGCAGTAACAGCGGCTTACATGACTAGCAGGTCTATTTTCTCTACTTTTGTAAATCACTACTGCAGACCTATTATTACTCAAAGTTTGTTATTCTCTCTCTCTCTTTTGGTAAATGTACCCATGAGCGACACAGCTAAGCGTCACGGGCAGTACAAGCTCCCCCCTCCACCCACCATCTGTGTGCCAACTTGGCTTCTGCCTCTAGTTTTCCTTTGATGACCACATTTTCATGGAGCACCTGCTCTATGGTGAGGACTGTGCGAAGCACTGTGTTGGAAAGTTACAGGGTGCTGCATAAGGAAACTAAACCGGGAGTTTGGTATGAAAGCCACTGTTCAGTAGCGGTGATGGGGAGTGAGATGGGAAGGAGTGTGGAAGCAAGAACTAGACACAGAAAGAAGCAGGGGAGGGCCCTGTGTGCACGCAGACAGAGAAGCAGGGGAGGGCCCTGGGTGCACAGACAGAGAGAAGCAGGGGAGGGCCCTGGGTGCACGCAGACAGAGAAGCAGGGGAGAGCCCTGGGTGCACAGAAAGAGAGAAGCAGGGGAGGGCCCTGGGTGCACAGACAGAGAGAAGCAGGGGAGGGCCCTGTGTGCGCAGACAGAGAGCTGGGGGACAGAAGCCCTGTGTGCGCAGAGAGCTGGGGGACAGAAGCCCTGTGTGCGCAGACAGAGAGCTGGGGGACAGAGAGCCCTGTGGACTCAGCCCAGAGCACCCTCACCTGCTGAGTGATGGCGTCCCACGGCGCTTGCAGCAGCCGGGCCCGGTAGCACTGGTGCACTCCTTCCCAGATGTCCTCCAGGGTCAGAGGTCTCCCGTCTGTGAAAGAGCACACGAAAGAACAGGTTAGCACCTGGGCCAGATTCCCACCTCACGCTACCAGAAGAATCCACAGTAGAGCAAATCCTAGGAGTGTCTGCATCAGAACAGTGTTAGCTAGATTCCCATTTCCTTCCTGCAGGGAATTTAAGCACTCATATTTTTTCGTTTGCAACTAGTTAACAGTTAAATTATCCACTCATTCATTGCCTGCAGCAAATTTTTAAAAATAATAAGCGAAACCCAAATGTGTTTGAGAGAACTGACAGCTACATGTGTAAGTAAGAGGACCAGGAAGAGACCTCCACCCTCCCAGGACGCTCTAAGCAGCTCTCCGGTCTTTGGAACAAAGAGCTCATTTGCACACTTCCTCTACTCGGTCACTATCTGCAATGTCCAAATCGCCCTGACGGGTACCCTGGAGAACACAGGAAAGGAAAACACACAACTCCTGCTAAGCAGCCTGCCATCTATCCGGGAGACCACCACACGGAATGGATCTAAGGACCAGAGGTTGCTGTTGTTCTCCGCTAGGCCGGAAGGGGGAGACATTCACAGCCAGCGTGTAAGGCAGGTGGAGAGAGGGGCTGCGGTGCCCGGGCCTGCCAACAATACCCCTTCTGTTGAATTAAGCAGTTTCAGTTATCTACCCACATCCATCCAACACGCACCTCATGAAGACCACTGTGTCAGCCAGCTGCACACGAGATAAGCAAAGAGGAAACAGCCTCGTTGAGAAAAGGAAGTGGAACTTCCAACCACACTCCGTCCAGTTAGAGCTACCGAGTCCCTCAGACCCCGCGTGCACGCTTGTCCCTAAACAGACTGCAAACACATCCGTGGCATCCACAGTGATGTAAGACGTCACAGAACTCCAAGGAAGAAACCAATCATGCTTGTTTGCCTTACCCTGTGTGCAAGTACAAATTATTTTGCTTTTAACCTTATGTGTGAGGTGAGAGCGACGCTGCTCTCCCAGTGTTGGTTCTCAGGGAACGGGCAGCAGCGAGACCTCCCAGGACGGGTGCCAGGCGCACTGCGAGAGCTCGGCAAACGCTCCCATGCCACGACACCAGTCACCTCCTCAAGCTACACTTGTTTCTAGACACGTCTGAGGACCTTCCTGTTTCTATACTGTGCGAACTGTCTTTGATATAATAATACACTAATAGAATAAGCGCGGCATTTCTCGTGTTTGACCTGAAAGGCTGAACTTTTCCTCAACCTTTATTTTCAATAAATAGCAATAGAATATTTTGATACATTTTCAATAAGTATCTTCAACTTGGCATTTATCTGGTGGCAGGAGACCATTATCTTGTGATAAATAGTTTTATTTCATTGACATTTCCATGTCTGTAAAATGAACAAGATTTATTCATCCAATTAACATTTGAATGTCATGTTTAGCTACAAGTTAGACACACGCTCCCTTCGGTGTCTCTGTTATATTGTTTTCTGATCACACTGACACCGCAGGGCCAAACTCTGTTAGGACAAGTGCTGTACATGTTCACAATATGCACAGTGTGTGTACAGCGGCTGCAAGCGGCAGTTAAGGCGTAAGGAGTTCTCTGTCAGATGGTGAGAAGCTGGCATGCTTTTAACATCATCTTTACACGTCCAAGTTAGAAGAAACCAAGTAGCAGCACAGGCAGATGTCAGAGCCGACCGACCACACGTTATCACTTGTGACAAAGAATTTTTCCGTAGTTGTTTTTTTTTCTAGATTATGAAGATACCATAATATTAGTATTCAGGATATTTTTTTTTAAAGATTTATTTTTATTATTTTTTCATTGGAAAGGCGGATATACAGAGAGGAGAGACAGAGAGGAAGATCTTCCGTCCGATGATTCACTCCCCAAGTGAGCGCAACGGGCTGATACTATGCCAATCCGAAGCCAGGAGCCTCTTCGGGGTCTCCCACGCGGGTGCAGGGTCCCAAAGCCTTGGGCCGTCCTCGACTGCTTTCCCAGGCCACAGGCAGGGAGCTGGAAGGGAAGCGGGGCTGCCGGGATTAGAACCGGCGCCCATATGGGATCCTGGGCGTGCAAGGCGAGGACCTTTAACCACATGCGCCACCGCGCCGGGCCCCAGGATATTTTTAAAAGATTTATTTATTTGTATTGGAAAATCAGAGAGGAGGAGAGTCAGAGAGGAAGATCTTCTGTGCGTTGATTCACTCCCCAAGCGGCCACAATGGCGAGAGATGCACCAGGATCCCGGAGCTCTTCCAGGTCTCCACACGGGTGCCCGGTACCAAGGCTTTGGGCCATTTTCAACTGTTTTCTCAGGCCACAAGAAGGGAGCTGGATGGGAAGCGGGGCTGCCGGGATTAGAACCAGTAACCACATGGGATCCCAGAGTGTGCAAGGTGAGGACTTTAGCTGCTAGGCTACCGTGCTGGGCCCTATTCAGGACATTTTTATGTCACTTAATCAAAACAAGTAATTAGTAGGAATGCATTTCTCCATACCCCTTGACTGTAATGATCCAAAGAATTGTAGTAAAGAAAATATTTTTTTAGGGGGAATGAAGCACTGCCAAACGCCCCACGTTGACACTTCACTGTGCTGGTTCTCCACCCACCTGGTGCTGCACAGGACAGCTCGACTCAGTCTCCATCTGTCAGCCTTGGACCTAGTGATGAAAAATACAGACCCTCATTCTACTGTCTGCTCTCTCCTCTCCCCCCGCACAGAGGTGACCTCCAGAAGCAACCTTCGGCCATCCTCTGTCCAAGGTCTCTGCCATGTGGGAGTCCAGTGGATCCAGTCTAAGTTCTCTGCTGAAGGCCATTCTTGGGTGCTCCTCCCGCCAGGGAACAAACCCCAAACACCTCAGGCCCTCTGGCCCAGGCCAGCAGACCCAACTTCATTCACCCTTCTTGTCAGTGCATAAGCCCGGGGAGTAACTGTCCCCAACACTCTCGCACAAACTCACACACTCTCTGCCCTCAGTCCATCGTTCTCTGGAGTGATGCGGCGTCATCCTGTGATTGCCACATCCTGCTGTTTCCAACCACTGAGGCAAGCTTGGGAGAGGCAGGAGTGTGGACCATTCTCACACCTGGGTGTATCCCAGCACCTGGCTCAGACCCAGTGCATAATAACTGGTTAATAAGGTGTTGCTCAGGTAACAGAATGGAAGAGCGCGGACATATTAAACCTTTCCCACATGCATAACAAGACATCCTTATGATGTTACTGGCCATGTAATACTGTGCTAAGATGGTGCACTATAGCTTCCTACATGCTCTTCTGTTGTTGGTCACTTAAATTATTCCTGGCTTTGAAACACGACCCGGAGCAAAGCAAGCCACACAGTAAGCCACAGCAACATTTCTGCCTTTGAATTATTTCCTTTTGATAAATTCCCCAGAGTGGAATCACTAAGTCAAAGTGAAAAATAACTGTTTTAATTCTAGTTCAGAAGAACTAGTATCTCGCCACGTCAGGACTCTTCCCCAGGGTAAGGAGACCAGGAGTTAGTTTGAGAAGCAGGCACTTATTTGGCTCTTCTGATATGCCAAGCGTTGTCCCAAGCCTCCGTGACCCAACACTGATGGCTGCTTTCTCGTGGGTTCCATTCTAGCTGGTGGACAGCTACCATAACAATGCACCTCATTCATTCATGAGTGGTACAGTGTGCTAGGAGGTGATGTGCAGGGTGGACGGGGGACGAGGGATGCCTGCAGGGGGTGGGCTCACCTGAGAAACTGACTTGGGAGCCAGCACCAGAGGCACAGGCTCTGTGGACGCCTGAGGGGTGAAGGAGGACTGTTTCAGAGGCAGGGACCCCTGCGGGGAGACCCACAGCTGGCAGGAGTCAGCGGTGCTTGCATGCCCTGAACACTCAACTTCCTGTTCTTAAGGAAGAGCTTTACTGGTATATTTTGTATGCAGGGTTGTGCAACCTTCAACTCAGCCCTCTCTAGAACATTCAAGGCTCCTCCACGTTGCAGTGGGAGTCGGACCCTTCATTTCTGTCCATAGTGTTGGACAGAAATGAATACCTTGCCTACCCACTCATCAACTGGTGGACATCTGCGGACATCTGCTTTTTTTCCACTTTGGGGCCTGAGTCACAGGGTTCTGTGAACTCTCCCGTGGGAATGTTTGCGTGGCCAGTCTTTTCCTTTCTTTGGAGGGCATACCCGGCACTGGTAGAAATGGGCTACAAAGTAACTCTGATTAAACTTCAGAGGAACCATCAGACTGTTCTTTCAAAGTACAGCCCTGTCTCACATTTTACCAAAGCTAGAGAGGGCTCTAATTTATCTGTGTCCTTCCCCCACGCCTGGCAATATCTCTCTTTTTAATTATCGCTAACCTAGTAGGCATGAAGAACTATCTGGTGGTTTTGTTTATATTATTATTTTTTAAAAAGATTTATTTATTTTTATTACAAGGTCAGATATACAGAGAGGAGGAGAGACAGAGAGGAAGATCTTCCGTCCAATGATTCACTCCCCAAGTGACTGCAACGGCCGGTGCTGCGCCAATCTGAAGCCGGGAACCAGAAACTTCATTCCAGGTCTCCCACGCGGGTGCAGGGTCCCAAGACTTTGGGCCATCCTCGACTGCTTTCCCAGGCCACAGGCAGGGAGCTGGATGGGAAGTGGAGCTGCCGGGATTAGAACCGGCGCCCATATGAGATCCTAGCGTGTTCAAGGCAAGGACTTTAGCCACTAGACCACACCGCCGGGCCCTATCTGGTGGTTTTGATTTGCATTTTGCCTTATAAGTGACATTGAGCAAATCCACACACACTTGTGCCATATTGCCTTCTGAGCTAAATGCCTGCTCAGATTTGCCCTCTTAAATTGGGTCTTTGTCTTATTATAGAAACATAAAAGTTCTTGATATTTTAGATGCAAGTCTCTTATCAGATGTATTCATTTGCAAGTATTTTCTCCATTTTTGTGGGCTCTTTTACTTTGCTGATGGTATCCTTTGAAAGACAAAAGTTTTTAATTTTAATAAAATCCAATTTAT